GGGTATGGTTGAATTTGGAGTATTTTGAATAATTTCTCTTATAAACCTCGTCGATTTTGTGCCAGAATCCCCTACATATTCTCTGCCCTCAAAACCTCCCCTCCTCGTAAGTACCCATTTCAGATTTTTGCTTAATTCCCAAGTAATATAAACTTTTTTAGCTGAATTTTTTGTTTTAATTATGTTTTCTTTTCGCTTCTCTCTCTCTCTCTCTCTCTCTCTCTATTTGTTGCCAGCGAGAGAATTTGCTGGAGATGAAGTGTTGCGGAAATTTCTGAAAGAGAGAGTATTGACCGGAGATTTTATATCGAAAATATCTGATATATTCTGGATAAGGGATTTTTGAAATCAGGCAAAATATTGAAGAAGATTTTATTTCTATTTAATCTCATCTGCCCACGGTAGAAGTGAGGACTGCATCCATATATATACAGATGCAATAGTCCAAAAGAAAAGCAACAACAAGAGAGAGAAGGCATAAGAGGAAAATAACAAAAAGCAACGGATACAAACAAAAGCGTAAAACCAGAAAACACGACTAAAAACTAAAAGCTGCTGCCCGGTTCTTCTTTATGGATGCTGCCCGGTTCTTCTTTATGTATAAGACCCGGTTCATCCTTCTCTATTTTCTTCATCCCCCCCTCAAGTTGGAAGTGGTGAAGATCACTCAAGCCCAACTTGGAAAGAAGACTGGTAAATTGGGGAGCAGCAAGAGCTTTGGTGAATAAATCTGCAAACTGAAGAGATGAAGGAACGAATTTTGGCAGGATGAGGCTAGACTTATACTGATTCCGAACAACATGAAAATCAATATCCAAATGCTTGGTACGTTCATGAAAGACTGGGTTAGCGGTGATGTGTAAGGCTGCCTTGTTATCACACCATAAAGGAATAGGTGTGAGTAATGGGATAGAAAGATCCTTCAAAATATATGTAATCCACTGTAATTCACAAACTGTGCTGCCCAAACTCCTATACTCTGCTTCAGCGGAAGAACGGGACACAGTGGTTTGCTTCTTAGTCTTCCAAGAGACCAATGCGGAGCCAAGGAAAATACAGTAGCCCGTAAGTGATTTTCTGGTGTCAAGGCAGGAACCCAGTCAGCATCGGAATAAGCTTCCAGGTGAAAAGAGTTCATTGCAGGGAAAAATAATCCCTTGGAAGGACAACCCTTAAGATACCTAAGCAAATGTATGGCCATATCCCAATGTGACTGACAGGGAGCATTAACAAACTGACTTAATTGTTGCACTCCATAAGTAATATCAGGTCTGGTGAGATTCAAGTAGAGAAGACGTCCCACAAGTCTCCTGTATCTCTCTGGGTCTGGAAGTAATGGTCCATCTTTGGTGACAAGTTTAGTGCCTTTTGGGATAGGCACTTGAACAGATTTAGCACCAATGACGCCCGCATCCTTAATGAGATCAAGAATATACTTCCTCTGGTTGACATACATCCCACTTTGATTTCGAGCAATTTCTAAACCCAAAAAATACTTTGCATAGCCTAGATCTTTTATAGTGAAAACCTTATGTAAAAATGTTTTTGCTGCAAGAATATCCTGCTCATTGGAACCAGTAATGAGCACATCATCAACATAAACTAAAAGGAACAGAAAAGAATCACCGGTATGTTTAGTAAACAGGCAATGATCATTTTCAGATTGATGAAAACCAAAATTCTGTAGCTTAAAACATAACTCTGTATTCCATTGACGCGAGGCCTGCTTCAGGCCATACAAACTACGTTTCAATTTACAAACTTGTCCAGGCAAACCTTTAGTATAGCCCTCTGGTGGCATCATGTAAATCTCCTCATCCAAGTACCCGTGAAGGAAAGCATTGTTAATATCCAATTGGTGCAAAGCCCAACCTTTCCCTGACACAATTGTCAAAAATAGTCTAACAGTAACGAGCTTCGCTACAGGTGAGAAACTATCAAAGTAATCTACACCATGTTGTTGATGATAACCCTTCGCTACTAATCTGGCCTTAAACTTGTTTAATGTGCCATCAGGATGTAGTTTAACTTTATAAATCCATTTTGAACCTATGGCTCGTTTGTTGATTGTTAAATCTGTTAGCTCCCAGGTCTCATTAGCTTCCAGAGCATCAAGCTCTTGTTGCATAGCTTTAACCCACTCCTCATTCTGTCTGGCTTGTTTAAAAGAACAAGGTTCCTGGATATTGGATACATTTGCCAGGAAAGCACTATATGTAGGGTTAATATGTGGAGATTGTATGTAAGGAAAAGTGGGAGGTGTGTATGCAGTAAATGTTGTACAAACCTTTTTGCAAGTTGAATCGACCTCAGCTTTTGGCAAGACCTGTGTGGCAGTTAAATTGGTAACAATGTCCTGTAGCCAAAGAGGTTGTGATCTAGCTCTCGTACTCTGTCTATTAGGGAGAACAGAAGGAACCGGTTGATTTGTGGATGTATGGTTGTATTCAGGTAAGGAAGAAGCATCCAAGAAAGGAACTTGAACAAGAGGAACTTTGTCAGATAAGGGATCAAGAGAGGGTAAATTGTTTTCTTGCATATAACTCTGTGGTATTTCAGTGTCTGAACATGAAGTATTTTGATCAAATTGGTCAGCATCAAAGTCAAGAATCAAAGGGAGTGAAGGGTGAGAACCAATTTCTTTTTCATTTTTAAAAGGGAAAACTGACTCAAAAAATTGTATTTCCCTAGATACACAAATCCATTTGGAATCAATGTCAAAGACTTTATACCCCTTCTGCCCTGGATTATAGCCAAGAAACACACATTTATGAGCTCTAGCATCGAACTTTCCTCTATGTGGTTTGGTATTAGCGATGTAGCACAAGCACCCAAAGGTTTTGATGAGAGTGTAATCAAGTTTACGACAAAATAATTTCTCAAATGGAGTAAGCCATTTTAAAATCTGGGTAGGTATTCTGTTGATAATGAAGGTTGCCATCAACAGAGAATATGTCCAAAATTATTTGGGTAAGTTAGAATGAAACATCAAGGATCTAGCAATCTCAAGAAGGTGTTTGTGTTTTCGTTCCACTACTCCGTTTTGCTGAGGAGTATAAACACAAGTTCTATAGTGGATCATCCCAAGGCCTTGAAACAGGGTTTGACATTCAGCGCTCACGAACTCCGTTCCATTATCAGTTCTAATCGATTTGACTTTGGTATCAAATTGTGTTTGGACCATCCTAAAAAAATTTTCCAAAGTTTTTGTAACTTGTGATTTATGAACAAGAAGGAATGTCCAAGTAGATCTACTAAAATCATCAACCACAGTAAGCATGTAGGGAGTACCCGTGAGCGAATATTCTTTGTATGGTCCCCAAAGGTTGACATGAATAAGTTCAAAAATGGATTTGATTTGAATATTGCTGGTAGGGAAAGGATTTCTGTGCTGTTTAGCTTTATGACAGACTTCACACCTTTTTAATATTTCTAACTCTTTCTGTGGACATTTAAGAAACTCCAGATATTTCAAAGCACGATGAGAAGCATGCCCTAATCTACCATGCCAATTTAAAAGCGAATCATCAATAGAAGGAGAAATAATGGCTTTATTTATAATATTCATCTGGTTATACAGAGAATGAATATCAGAGTACTGTGATTGGATGTTCGACTTATTTCTAGCCTCACTCTCTTTTGACATAAAACTGAACTTATCTAACAAATATAACTTCCCTACAAGCTTGCCAATAGCCAAGGTCTGTTCACTCTGCAGGTCCTGCAGAACATATAAACAATCTGTTAGGTGCAGTTTGGGATCAAGGTTAACATTTCCTATGTGTTTGACAATTTTGCTAGTTCCATCAGGTAAGCATATATGTATTTGGTTTGGTGCAGGTCTTATTTTAGTCATCAAATGTGGATCTGTGCAAATATGAGTACTGGCACCTGTATCTATTATCCAAGTTCCAGGATTCAAATTATCAAGCGCAGTAAGAATGGAATGATCAGAGCTCATACCTGCATATTCTTTGATATGTGCGAAGTTCACCTTATTTTCCATTTCAAGCATTGTTTTTCCTTTCAAAGCTTTCATCACCTCCTGTTTCACTATATCTGCTATTTCTGAAGATTCTGTCATATGTAATCTTCTGGTTTGAACAAATTGATCATCATCAACTTCCAATGGTGTACTAGCCATATTACTCAAAAAATGTCCATCCCCTACACCTTTGGACCTCTGATCCTTAGGAATCCCATACCAGTCTGGGTATCCTATTAGTTTAAAACACCCATCTCTGGTGTGACCATTCATGTTGCAGTGGTTACAATGTAGGTGTTCTCTTTCTGCTCCATATCTTCTGGTGTTTCCCCTTCCAGATCCAGATCTTCCTCTACCAAAACTATTTCTCACAAATCCTCTATTATATCCACTTCTTTCTCTGTTTTCTCTTCTATAATCTGTTGCATTTACTAACATTGCACTATTCTCATTAGATTCTGGAAATATGGTATGCACTTCTCTTTGCTTTTCAACTCTCAATATCATGGAATAAGCTTTGTTCACAGACGGGAGAGGATCCATAACCAGAATCTGATTTCTCATATGGTCGAATGTGTCATTTAATCCCATCAAAAACTGAATCAACCGATTAAAAGTGGTCAGATCTGTTACTTCTTTTGATGCATTGCAGGTGCAGGTAGGCATCAGCATTAAACAAGTGAGTTCATCCCAAAGTTTCTTCAGCTTTGTATAGTATTTCTCAACCGTTAAAGCACCTTGAGATATGTTGCTTATCTCTCTCTGCAATTGATATAACATTGGTCCATTACATTCTCCATATCTCTCCTTTAATTCCAACCATAGATCCCTAGCAGATCTAGTATAAATGAATGCTTCAACAATATCCTTTGCAATTGCGTTCAATAACCATGACCTAACCATGCAGTCGACTCTATTCCATTGTTCTAATTTCGAAGGATTCTCAACAGCTGGTTTATCACAGCTTCCATCGATAAATCCCAATTTTGATTTTGCACCCAAGGCTATAAGAACAGATCTGCTCCAACTAAGATAATTTCCACCTGTTAATACCGAAGTGACTAAGATCATACCAGGATGATCTGAATTTTGGAGATCCAGCGGATCTCTGTTTGAATATTCCTTCCCCGTTTCTGCATCTCCAGTTTCTGGCGCCAGCAGATCTTGTGGTGCCATATCTTCTTCAATTGATGATTTATTCTGTAATTAGGATCTAGAAATGTCCTTGCTCTGATACCATGTTGAAATCAGGCAAAATATTGAAGAAGATTTTATTTCTATTTAATCTCATCTGCCCACGGTAGAAGTGAGGATTGCATCCATATATATACAGATGCAATAGTCCAAAAGAAAAGCAACAGCAAGAGAGAGAAGGCATAAGAGGAAAATAACAGAAAGCAACGGATACAAACAAAAGCATAAAACCAGAAAATACGACTAAAAACTAAAAGCTGCTGCCCGGTTCTTCTTTATGGATGCTGCCCGGTTCATCCTTCTCTATTTTCTTCAGGGATTTGATTACAAATTCTGAAAATCGAGCAAAAGCTGAAGAAATGGCTGATAATCTTAAAAATGCCACTCAGCTATTAAAGGTGGTTTGATTACTATTTTCTCTTTTTGCTTGGAAATTTTCGTCTACTACACTGCTGAAGAAGGATTTACGTAGCAGGCACCAAATTTATTGGAACAAGGCTTAGTTTGTCGGAAAAAGATTCATCCTTTTTGCATTTGTAATCACGATTCTTATTTAATTTTTTGTTCATAGTCTACTGGCGAAGAAAATGATGGCGGGTTTTTGAAACTGAAAATAAACGAATGAGTGGCTATTAGGGGACAACAACTCAGTGCCAATGAATAAGAATATGGTCATCAGGGTATATTCTATTTAATTATAGCAACTCTTTTGAATTTTCTTTTTATCTGTAAAGAATATGGTAGAATAATTTATGTGAATAATCTAATTAATTGTTTATGATGATGATAGGAAGTAGGAGACGACCGTGAGAGAAGGAAAAGACTGAATTTCCTCCAAGATGAAGATGTAAGATATGTCTGAAATTCTATCTTTTACTATCATCGTTTGTATACCTGTAGTTATGGTTCTGAGCCCGATTAGCTTCACATTTTTCCTTCAATTATTGGAATGACTAAAATACGTAGTCACTTCTGAACTTCATCTGTCTCTGCATCTATTTTGTTTGGGTTTACTTGTTAAGTTGTGAAATCATTAAAATTACGAAAAACTTACTTGCATAGTGGTTACCTACTGGGGTTTAAATGTACGTGCTTGTCATTAGTTCTAGATCAGAGTGCCGGAGATTATGATTATTGTGAATTTTCCATGAATACATTCAACAAAGAGGAAGTACTGTATCTTCTTGTTGGAAATGTGAATATGAATTTGATTATTTAAAAAAAATAAAATTCTGTAGTTTCTCATGATGCCGGTCGAGACTAAAGACTTGTTTGAGCCCCATTTTGGAAGAAAGAATGCATTTTAGAATAGTAGATTTATTGAGAATGTGTAGTTAAAAATTAAGAAAAGTTTTGGATTTTCATGTAATATTATTTTATTGGAAAATGTGTACTTGAAAATGAATTTTAAAAAAATGATTTTATTAAAAAAATGGGGCTCAAACAAGCCCTAAGTATCGAGGACACTTGTACAAAGGATATTCTTCTTGAAATTATGCACGTGAGTTCTATTATAGTTCTATGGGATTTCAACAAATATTACCGAAGAAAGGAGGGTCTTCGTTCTTCTACAAGAAAGTGCTCAAGAGTTACATGATCAAAACCACATAATAATCAATGGAGACACACCATTGAAGTGATTCACTGGTTAATTATGCTACTTATTCCCACCAACTATAATATCATGGAAGTTGTGAGAATCTTAGTGGTAGATCGCAAATTAAGCGACTTCGTTACAGAAATGAGATATACATTTTTTGCATCTTTTGAATGAGAATAAATATTTGCTAATTCTTCGTCATATCGAAATACGATACATATTATGATATTCCCAGAATCAGAGTTATTCAAATATAGTAAGATGTATATGATTTTTGCCTTCAAATGTAGCTCAAGAGGGAACTGTTTTTTCTTTTTTTAAGGTGGGCATTGGAACTGCATGCGGCGGATATTGTCCGAGATAGCATTGTCATTCCAGGCAATGCAGCAAAGGGACACCCAAGTTTAAGAAAATATTTATATGTTTAGCCGAAATAAAAACCTGCTTTTTGTGGATTGCATATACTAGTAATTTTCTCCACTTTCTTGTATCTCTCTTTTTTTGTCAGAGTGGTTCATCTATTGCCATGGAGAGAAAAAATTTAATGCCTAAAAGAATGTAGAAAAGCCATTGTCGTAAAGGGAACAGATTTTACGAAAGTCGAGTAATGCAATGGTTGGTGATAGATAAGATAAAAAATGAGAATGTACACCAACGAGAAAGATAAAATATTAATTTGATTAATTTAGTGACTTTTTTTTTATAAAGAACAAAAAAGTCAGAGATAGCACCGATTGTAACGACCCATTCTCTATATCCAAGCCGTTAACTCTTTAACTGTTTGGACATAGAGGTTGGGTCATTATACAAAACCAAATGGACAATTTGCTCAATTGGTACCAGAGTTCAATTTAAACATCTTTTAAGGGAGATGTCATGTGTTCGTATCATGAGAAATGCGACAAAAAGCTATGAGCTGTAAGAGGGCAAATGCTTTCACAAAGTGGACAATATGTAAGTTAATGGCTTGAGCACAGAAGTTGGGTCATTATAGGAAATGCACTTGTAACGACCTAACCTGTGCATTTTTTGTAACGACCCGACTTCTGTACCCAAACTGTTAACGCATTACGTACTGTCCGCTTTGAGAGGGCATACGTGCTATTACCATTTGCTCAATTGATATCAGAATTCAATTTAAGTACTTCATAAGGTAGAGATCTTATGTTCCAATCTTGGGTGACTCGACTCAAAGCCGTGAGAGTTAAGAGGGTAAATACCCTCTCTAAATGGACAGTACATAATGAGTTAACGGCTTGAGCATAGAAGTTGGATTATTACACCAATCGGATAAATTAAGGGAAGGCAACTTAGGTGATTAGGTCAAGTTTTGCGTTGAATTAAAGAGGTTTAGGTCGTAAGAGTGACACAATTTCAGTTGATAAGTTAGAAGAAGGGTGGATGAAAAATTAACATGGCTTGTTGTAGTTGCTAAGCTTTTAGTTGTTTTAAATCTCTCACTAGATCTAGCAATGAACAAAGCTTGGAGAAGGATTTACGTAGCTAACTCCAAATTTATTGTGAATAAGATGGGTTTTTGTCGTCATAATGTACTTGTTGAAGACTTGACGTTCTTTCCAAAAATAGATACTTATTGACAAATGACTTGAAAGCTCTTTAAAATAGTCTGATATTACCCTACTTAAATTTCTGTTCTAAACGAAAGTGATGTATGGAATCATGGACTTAAATTAACAGTTTCATTTTTATGTTACCAGATAGGATTATGATGGATGTACATTATGGACTACACAAGTGGGCCAGGCGCCCCCTCCAATGGGAGAGCACCACGTGTACATTATGTACACCCTTGTGTCAAAGGTTATGTACTTCTAGCATCTACTAGATATAGGACTATAATTTATTTCACCTTTTTCGACACTTTAATTTTTCTAAGCAGTGTGGATTCTTCTTGTTCAACATGTTATATAAGTCATTCAACTGACAAAAAGGGATGTCAGAATATTCGATTTATAAGGTTACCTTTCTTCTTAGGCTGCTGTGAGTTATATGACAGGAGTGTTTTCAGGTAAGTTTTCATACCTTTTATTTCTTTACACAATTACACCTTTCAGTTCTTTAACTATACAAGTTCAAGGCACCTAGAGAGTTAATAAATTTGCCTAAGGTCGACCAAAATAGAGAAAAAAAGACTGCAAGGAAATATGTTTTCTGGATGTCCAGAAGCCATGGCCTACAACTTTTGCAGGAAGAGAAGAAGTAGAATTTTTTTTTTTTTTGTTAATAAATGCATGTGTGATTTGGTTGCGTAATCTTGATATATTTTCCATATGATTGATGATAGAGCGCATACTGTGCATTCAGCATAGTCTTGCTTTCCTTGCCAAACAAAAATATTTACAGACATATCCTAAAATATCTGACATTTTCATTACTGCAGTTGCCTATACTTCTTGTGCAAACATGCGGACAATGTATCAAAAGAAAAAGTTCCACAAATTTTAGCTAAAAAGAAGTCAAAAAAGTATTTGTTAGGAATATTGGACCTAACTCCACCTAATAAAACCGGCTTCTTAGAGGAGGATTGCACTCACCTTATTAAGTGGATCATTTATATTTTCCCAAGCAACGTAGGATTCTAATATATATTCTTCACATGGTATCAGAGCCGTTACGATCCTAAACAAATTAAATCGTGAATTTCGTTTCCAGGGCCAATTTTTTTTCTAAAACAAGTTGCTGACCAATTTGTTTTTTGTTCTTTTTTTAGAGTTTCAATCTTTATGCACTTTGAATAAACTTCAGAACTTCTATACCCAATATCGATTTGTTTACAATTGTTTGGCATGATTCACGCTGTGCGTGAGGGGGCGTATTAGAATCCCACATTGTTTGGGAAAATATAAACGATCCACTTAATAAGGTGAGAGTAATCCTCCCTTAATAAGCCGGTTAAATTAGGTGGAGTTAGACTCAATATTCTTAACAGTATTAAAATTTGCTCTTCCACATGCTATGTTCCATGTCCTTTTACATGAATTTCTCCTTTACACAAACTTTTTGTTTCTGTACAGAATTGGAATTAGAAGCCAAGATCTGCAGGATCTATTTGAGAGATCGATGAAGGGTAGTGGCATTGCTCTTTCGTCTCCGAGGCTTGTCATTCCTGCTGCAATATATGGACTATGGGAACTGTCTCAACATTTTGGCCATGACATTTTTTATTTTCAGGTAATTCTGAGGGGGATCTTCTTGTACTTCGCTTTCATCTATTTAATTTCTTGAACTTTGAGTATTTTGAGCTGTTTGGTAAAACATAAAAATTACTTTTTGTATCCAAACATTTTTGGATTTTGACTAGTTACTTTTTTCTTAATTTTATGTGAAAAATAGTTATTTTTTTGGAACCAACTTTTAATAAGAACTTTCTTATTTTCTAAAATTTGACCAATAAAGATTTATTTCTTTTTAATTTTTTCCCTTATCCATCCTACTTATTTCTCAAAAAGTAAAACTTATAAGCTTAGCTAAACATGCTCCATCACTCCTGTTTTCTAATTTATGTTTCACTCTTTTCTCTTCACAGCTAGTGCCTGCTATGGTAGGACTGTTTTCATATAAGGCTGCTGCACTTGTGCAAGTCTACCGAGACAATGAAGACCTTCAATTTATTTTCCCTGATAATGCAATAGATTCAAATGACTGAAACTCGGGTGTAGAGACGTATTCGTCTTTGATCATTCAAGGAGTTTGATCCTTCCGGTCGACAACTTGTCCGGTGATAAATGACTGTTTTCTCCAGTACATTTGTGCGCTTCTAAATTTTCATCATCTCGTTTTAGATTGTGATAGGAATTTCGAATGTGCCAAAACACTTTACCTATTGACTTGTCTCTTCTGAAAATACATCTATCCTTTACAATGATCCTTCTCTACATTTTTGCAGGTTTTCCCAATGTTCTCCACTCTCTTTTATATCCCCTCATACTACGTTTCTTTTTCATGGTGGTCAGGCCTAGATTTTGAAGAACTAACAAGTCTTTGGCAAATTGAACATACTCCACCCCTAAGTAGTCTGAATCGACTTGGATACTTACAGCAGCCGAACCATATATAGTCTGGACATTGTATTCTCAGTGGCGGCATCAGGAACAAAGAGCTACACTAGGAATAAGTCGACCGTGACCTGCTTTCTTGTAATTTTCTTGTTGAGATATTACGTTAGAGCAATTTTTTCCAAACTCCGACCATACCACCATTTTCTGCTTTCTCCAAATCTTCATTGGCATTCAAGTTGAAAGTAGGTTAGGTTTGTGGGAACTGTGATCTTGATGTATACAAGTTATTATTATTGTGAGAAGCCCATTTTCATTGTTCTTTTTCTTGAACAGTCCTTGTGGATTACAAATGGAGATGGACTCTTAGCGACTGTTAAACGAATTGTCTTGTCTAAAGGTACAGCTTTCAAAGACGAGATATGATTATATATTCAAATTATAGTCTTCAACATGCTCGTCACTTGCAAGCAAATTCATTTTTATGTAACAAACTTTAAATTAATTCGTGGACAATTTTCCTAAATGAATTTACATTTACAGGACAATACTAAAGAAATTTATTGTTGACTTTGATCTAATTGAATAGTCAAACGACTTTGAGGACTTGCTATAAAAACACGTGACAGAAGAAATTTTGGTTTCTTAATTTATTATTATTTTTATGGATGGAAAGGAGGCGTGCAATTTTTTAATGGGTTATGCTACATGGCACTCCCCCCAATAGAGGGGCGCCACATGTACATTATGGACACCATTATGTGTACCATAATGTACATGTAGCATTATTCTTATTTAAATACGTTTCTTACTGTGTGGCAAATAATTGATTTTATTGCATTGCACGTGAAAATAGTGAAAGCAACCTTCATAAAAAAAAACTGAAATAGTGAAAAGTAGACTAATATTAATATGGCACGTTGTTATTGTAAATGATTTATTCTATTATTAATCTTATAGTATTTTTACTATAGAATTAAACTACTTGTACAATGAATTTGTACAATGATTTTGACAATGTGTGAGGTGTATAGATCATTACCATTGAATTCAAAAACAATCTTTCAAATCAATGGACATAATGTCTGTCAACTCACACATTGTCAAACTTATTGTCAAATTCATTGTACAAGTAGCATAGTTCTTAAAGTAAATGGAACGACAAAAGAAGAAATTCATGTAGATGATCTTAACATAAACTTCAATGTACAAGTAGCATAGTTCTTAAAGCAAACGGAACGACAAAAGAAGAAATTCATGTAGATGATCTTAACATAAACTTCAATTGTTATTTGAATTAAAATTTGAAGAAAAGACTATATTTTCATTTCAAGATGAAAAGTTCGATCATCTGCTTTTCATCCTATTTGTAGAAAATGAAATTATACTAAAATCTTGACTTTACTTTTTTTACGAAAGTAGTGAGTATCATCCTTGTGTAAATTCGAATCTTATGTTTGAATCCATAATGTACAGGTGGTGCCCCTCTATTGGGGGGAGTGCCTGTGGACATGCACTCCCCCCAATAGAGGGGCACCACATGTATATTATGGATACTATTATGTGTACCACATGCACTCCCCCAATAGAGGGGCACCACATGTATATTATGGACATCATTATGTGTATCATAATGTACATGTAGCATTATTCTTATTTAAATACATTTCTTACTGTGTGGCAAATAATTGATTTTATTGCATTGCACGTGAAAATAGTGAAAGCAACCTTCACAAAAAAAACTGAAATAGTGAAAAGTAGACTAATATTAATATGGCACGTTGTTATTGTAAATGATTTATTCTATTATTAATCTTATAGTATTTTTACTATTAAAGTAAACGGAACGACAATAGAAGAAATTCATGTAGATGATCTTAACATAAACTTCAATTGTTAATTGAATAAAAATTTGGAGAAAAGACAAGATTTTCATTTCAAGATGAAAAGTTCGATCATCTGCTTTTCATCCTATTTGTAGAAAACGAAATTATACTAAAATCTTGACTTTACTTTTTTAACGAAAGTAGTGAGTATCATCCTCGTGTAAATTCGAATCTTATGTTTGATCGTTGTTTTGAAGAAAAAGAAACAAGAAAAATGTGAAAACTTTAGTGCTAAAATGTTGCGAAATACAATAAATTAGGCCACGTAGATAAATCGTAAGTAAGGACGTGGTGAACCATCATCGCACGTTGTCCCATGCACAGTCCAGAATGGAAGTTGTGAAGCTCGTGAGTTTTCTGTCTATAATATCAACCCATTGAGTTGGTCGGTAGTTGTGACAAGATTTGATAGAAATTTTTTGAGAATTTGTAATTAAAAAGTAAGAAAAAATAATGAGTTCACATGTAAATTTTTTTTCTATTATGAGAATGTATCGTTAAAACATGAGTGTTTTGGGAGGGGGAATGAGTTTTTAAATGGGCTTTTTGGATCTTACTATGTGTATATTAAGATTTACATAATGACTCATGATACTCTACCATTTTGTCAGTTTAAAACGTAATTAACTTTTTCATCCAATATTTTTCTTCTATGTCACATTATATAATTCATTATGTATATTTTTTTATATACAAGTAGTAAAATCCCTTTTAAAAATGGGGGCTAAACAAAAGTTTAATAAAGTTTGACTTTTTAAAATAACGTTTTAATAACGATATCAAAGTCCATAAGCATAATTTGATACGTTTAAATCAAACAAATTGTTGAATTTCAAGATTGATAAGTTTTGAAATTAACCACCATCTTGTGACGAAATGTTAAAGGTAAAATTCCACGCCTTTTAAATATGAAAGCAATAGTCCACATATAAAAATTTTAACAGTTCTTAACAAAGTTGATCTTTTAAAACACTTGATTCGTCAAGCGTAGATTTGTTACATAGTCGAATTTGACTTTAATTTCGAATAATAACACAAATGAATTTTAGTCTCTCATAATCAAACGATAACAAAATTCTGTTCACAATAAGAATCTTTATGAATATCGAAAAATACGAACTATTGACTACTCATAAATTTTGTTTTGAAATATTTGTAGAATTGTGAATGGAACTAACGATTGTAATCCTTAATGTGTACGAAAAAAAATTACAAATGACGAAATCGATGAATTATTTTATCTTTAATGTCAAATTGTATTGGTGCAATTCCTATTTCAATCACGAGCAATTTGATCAATGACCTTATCTTCACATACATTGTACAATCCTACAAGTGGAAGCGCCACTTGACCCAATTTCTCAATACTCTTTCAAATGGATAATGAGTTGTTGTCACGAAAGTCTTAATACACCAAGTCATACTTGTAGCCTAAATTATGGCTGATATTAATGGACATATCACATAATTTTGTTACGAGATAAAATTTTCTTCTTATAAGATATTTCCACGTTACTATCATAATATATAATAAAAGTTATTCTTGCCGTTTCTCTCTAGTTTCGGGATTAAAATTGGAATCGAAAATTAAATATTATAGAGTCGATAATATGTATAAGATACTTTTGTCCTCTCTCTTGCTCGGGATTAAAATTAGAATTGGAAATTAAAGTTTCGAGTTCTTGTCATAATTTCAATCCTCGACTAAAATAAATAAGACATAAAAGACTATGATCATATTAATTGAGAATTATATAGGAATTTCGAGGGCGAGGAAAAGTATTCAAATCTAGAATTCTTTTTTTTTTTTTGGGGGCATATTATGGATATGGATGAATGATGGATATTTTTTAAAAAGAAAGATGAATTCTTTGTTGGAATGTGGAAGCAGAATTATTTAGATATAAAAAATTTCTTTAATTCAATAAACTAGATCATATAGATGTTCACATGTATGTTATATCAAGAATAAAAAATTAGAATTTTTACATAAATTCGATGATCAATTCTTTAATTAATTATGAATCACGAGCTTCCAGCCTTTTGAATAACTTCGCTCATTCTGAAACTCCCAACTCATCGAAATATTTGATCAATCGAATTGATCTCACCTATTGATGAATCAAATAACTAAAATCACGAAAATATATACATAACTCTGTCAATGGATTTAGATGAAATACACGACGATCAATTGGAATTCAATTCTCCGCACAGTTATGCTATAAAATTAAATGCAACACGTGGTCCGTTGAATACGCTTTAAGTGTACTAGTGTCATCTTTAACTTTTTTAGTGATAAGGATAAATTACAAACTCAAATAATCAATTGGTTAATACTACAAACTTCCAATACAAGGTGCTAACCCTAATACATAGGTTGTGAACAAATTATTTATGATCAAAATATAAATTATGTCATACTGTATTTTTCAACGCAAGTACTCAACTTATATTATCACAAGTGATTATAGACACTTTAATTTGTATGCTCAATAATTAAATAAATACAATAAATAAAAATAATTTTATTTAATATAAGAATATTATTATTTTTACGTCACAAATGGACACACAACCAACCTTCTTTGCATTAAAGATGTTCACAAGGACGATGGTGGAGAGTTATCCATTAGATTATTATTAAATAGACCCCAATCAACGTGAATTGGACCAATAATTAATTATTAATAGGTCCAATCAATAATTATTAATACGATTACTATGTGCATCAATTGATAAGATTATCCGAGCTCAGACGGGAG